GGCAGGCGGAGAACCCGGCGGCCGCTTCACCCTGAAAATCCACATGCCATCGACTATGTTCGCCCCAGACGAGAGAACTGCGTGAACGTAGGTGCCTGTGGACTTCCAGGATGCCATCTCGACGTCCATGGCTGTCTGCCACTGAGAGGAGTAAGGACCCATAATCGCCTCTGCGTAAGAGCGCGGGGTCGGGATGTCTGGTGCATCCGGGTCTCCCTCAGGGGCAAGCAGCATGGAAGCGAAACGAGGTACAGCAGTTGCAAGACACTCAAATTCCTCCTGCCTGTCCTCAAGGACGTCCGTGCCAAGAGCACACTCACCCCCGACGGACGGAGGACTGGCAGACGCAGACTCAGCAACAAGAGCTGTGGCGTAGTCTAGACGACAGGCAACAGCAAAGTCAAGCAGCTCAGCAACGAGAGCAGACGCAGCATCAGACTCAAAAGAAGGGTCAGTGACAACAGTGGCGAGGAGACGAGAGACAGTGGGACTGGCAGCACGAGCGCGGTCAGAATCAGGGTCAGGGACCTCAGGAAGAGAGGACTCAGGAGGAGGTGGCAGAGGAACGCGTAGAGGAACAGAGGAAGGACGAAGGGTCATAGCGTGCGTTCCAGGGACAGGAGGAGGACGCAAACGAGGAACACGACGAGCAGTGCGAACAGGCAAGACAGGACAAGACGCAGGCTCACGACGCTCTGTAAGACCGCCTGACTGCTCAGTGTAAGGAGAAGGAGCAGGCAGTGGAGAGGTCGGCTGTAACGGCGGCTGCGTCTGGTCAGGCAGGGGACACAGGAGGGGAGGAGTAAGGACAGCAGAAGGCGGGGTACCAAGAACCTGCTGGAGCAGGGGAACGAAGTACGGTCGCGGCCGTAGAGTACCACCAGGGTAAACAGCTCCAGCTCCTCCAGCTCCAGCACCTCCAACTCCAGCGCCTCCTGCGCCAGGGTCACCAACTCCAGCTCCTCCAGCTCAAGCGTCACCAGCACCAGTAGTACCAGACTCCGTAAGGTCTCCAGCTCCAGCAACCTCAACACCACCAGTCCCGGCAACTCCAGTACCCCAGGTACAAGCACCTCCAGGACCAGTGGTCGCAGTACCTACAGTACCACGAGCTCCAACAGCAACTCCAGGACCTCCAGCTCTAGCAGAGCCATCACCTCCAGCTCCAGAAGCTCCACCCCGAAGACGCGTATGCCGAACAAAACACTCACGCAACTGCTGCGGAGACAGTCTCGGCGAAGCACCAGCAGAACCTCCAGACGAAGCAGCACCCTGAGGCTCCGCACCCCCAGAATCCGCACCCTCCGAAGCAGCACCCCCAGGCTCAACACCCTCAGGCTCAGCACCCCCAGTTGCAGCACCCCCAGGCTCAGCACCCCGAGTCTCAACACCTCCAGGCTCAGCACCCCCAGTCTCAGCACCCTCAGACTCCGCACCCCCCAGCTCCGCACCCCCAGACGCAGCACCTCGAGCAGCACCTGAGTCAACAGCTACCTGAAGTGGCGCAGGACCAGGGAGAGGGTCTACCTGAGACACACCTGAGGGAGCAGGACCCTGGGGCGGGAGGGGGTCTACCGGAGGGGGACCGGGAGCAAGAAAGAGCGGCGGGGGCGGGGGAGGGGCAGAGCGGTAGGGGAAGAGGCAGTAAAAGGGAACCGACTCGTCAAACGTGACGTCCTGAGAAGGGAAGACACAGCGCGAGGTGGGGTGGTAAAACTGCCAGCTAGGCGCGTCGGGGACAAAGCCAAGGAAGACGCAGGGGATAGCACGGGGGGAGAGTTTGTCCGTGGACGTATCGCGAACACCGACGCATCGCCAACCTCCCCCGTCCAACGCAGTGTGGGCGAGGTCTCCGGCAAGGAGACACGGGGCCAGAGGTTGAGCTGATGCGCAACGTACTGGACCGCAAACGGCCACAGAAAATGGGGAGCAGCCGCATGGTTCATGGAGGTACGAGCGACCTCCATGACCAAGCCAATGCGGCGCTCAGCAATCCCATTTTGCTGAGAGGAGTCCGGAAGCGTGAACGACTGGAGAATGCCCTCCCCACGACAAAAGTCCCGCAAGAGGGTGGAGGAGAACTCACCACCTCTGTCAGAGTGCAGACGTAGGACAGGAAGGTCCTGGCCGAACCGCTCGCGGAGCTGGAGACGGACTGTGCGGATCCAAGGGATCAAGACATCAACGACCTGACCCTTGCTGCGCAAGGGGAAGACCGTGGTGTACCGCGTGTAGTCGTCAACTACCAGCAGAAAGTAGCGCTCGCGGCTCTGTCCACTGACGCGGGCTGGGCCCCACACGTCTATGTGGAGAGTCTGCAGGGGAGCAGTCATCGGGGGAAACGAGGAGGAGTGGGGAGCGGCGCGTTGCCGCCCCTCGATGCAAGGAAGGCAGGGCGGGGCAGGCGAGGGCGGCAGGGGAGGCAGGGACCTGGGGAGGCCAGAGACAAGAAGACGAGAGTGCATGCCACGAAGGCGAGGCAGGGACGGGTGACCCAAACGGTGGTGCCACAGAAGAGTCTGGTGCGACAGGAGGCGACGAGTGAACGTGGCCAGGTGACGCCCCGTCTGTGTGCACGTGCAGATCAACACACGCTGACCCCCAGGAGTGGTGGTAGTGACCATCGCATCCTAGAGGGCAGCGGTACTCACCAAGTTCGTAGAGAACAAGGGGAGGTGAAGACCTGACAGTGAGCCGGACGGAACTGCCGGACACGGGAGGACAGTGGAGGAACGGGCCACGACCGGTCCCCCAGAGGGGTCAGCCAGTCGGACCGGGACAGGTGCAGGAAGAGGAGTGAGGGTGGTGCTGTCACGAAAGAAACAGCGCGAGGCGCCGGAGTCCAACGTGAAAGTGTGCAAGGCCTCAGTAGGCGCAGTACCAGGGAGAGTACTAGACTCACTAGCACCTAGAGCAGCAGCAGCTATACCTGGGTCAGGCGGCACACACCGGTATCAGTCACCCTCAGCACTAACAGACAAAGGATACATAGTAGAAAAATAGCATCAAAGTCTAGGTCAAACATAGCAATCCTAGACTTAAGCAGATCTGCCCAGCGAGGGAGTTCGACGTCGTCACCAAACTTAGCACGCCAAGCGTCGTCGAGGCAGGAGAAGCAGCGGTGCTGAGTGTGGAGCCGCCCGCAAGTCTGACCAGCACGGTCACCCGTGCGAATGACATACGGGCAACTAACCCCAGACGCCCCACGCAGAAACCACTCACAAAGTTGCTGGGGAGACGGGGTCTCGCTCCGACGCTGCTGCTGCTGACGCTGACCACCCCCAGAACCGACACGCCGAGCGCCAGTCCCACCGCTACCAGTCCCACCGCCTCCACTTCCGCCACTCCCACCGCTGCCTCCACCACCGCCACCAGAGCCCCCACTCCTGCCAACAGTCGCACCGCCGCCACCACCTCCACTGCTGCCCCCACCACCACTCCCGCTGCCACCTCCACCACCGCCGTTGCCACCTCCACCACCCCGGCCACCCTTGCCCTTGCTGTTGCGGCGCTTCGCACTAGCAGAAACAGCCCCGACGTCCTCAGGATCAGAGACGTCTGCAGCAGCAGCAGAGGCGTAGGAGGGGGCAAGGGGGGAGGGGGAACACCCCTCAAAGAAGGGCGGATGCGGAGTGCCACGAGCAGCACGTACAGCAACTGCACTAGTCTCAGCTTCGAGGAGATGCTGCTCGAGGAGGTCAACAGTGAGGGAGGTGGGGTCAAGAGAGAGGAAGTGGTCCCTGACAGAGCGAAGAGAGTCAGGGAGGCGGGTGACTATAAAGTAGAGAGTGATGTACATCGGGGGCGGGTTCCTGTCAAGGAACACAGCAGGAACGGCAGCGCGGTAGCAAGCGTCACTAGCGCGAAGGTGGGAAACAAGGTCCTCGCCTGTGGTAAAGGCGGACAGCTCGGGGAACAGGTAGGGCAGAAGAAGGCGGCACAGAGCAGCAGTGGCAGGGGAGGAGTAGCGAGCGACTACAGCGTCGTACAGTGCCTGCGTTGTCCTGTGCTGTCCGAAGTGAGCACATTCAGCTAATGGCAGGTGGTTGCGAATGGCTAAGCGGGCAGCAGCGTCACGAGTAAGCCACTGTGAGCGTGTCGAACTGTCAGCTGTGGCGGGAGGGGCAGTAGCAGTGCCTGACGCTAGGTCAAACAGCGAGACCCTGTCCTTAGAATCGCTCAGTAGGTACAGCTGCAGGTCGTCTAGCCACGTGTCAAACTGAACTGGTCTGCCCTCATGATCAAACGTGAGAACCCGAAGCGAAGCCATAGCTGTGCAGCACGCAGGATAGCAGTAGCAGCAGTAGCAGCAGCAGTAGCAGCTGTAGCAGTAGCAGCAGTGACAGTGGGAGGGGGGGGCGGGCGCGGGCTAGGGACGGGGCCGGGCGCGGGCTAGGTACGGGGCCGTGCGCAGGCTAGGTACAGGGCCGGGCGTTGGGCTAGGTATGGGGCCGGGCGCGGGCGAGGTACGGGGCCGGGCGCTGGGCTAGTGACGGGGCCGGGCGCGGGCTAGAGACGGGGCCGGGCGCTGGGCTAGGGACGGGGCCGGGCGCGGGCTAGGTTCGGGGCCGGGCGCTGGGCTAGGGACCGGGCCGGGTGCGGGCTAGGTACGGGGCCGAGCGCTGGGCAAGGGACGGGGCCGGGCGCGGGCTAGGTACGGGCCGGGCGTGGGCTAGGCACGGGCCGGGCACGGGCTAGGTACAAGGCCGGGCGCGGGCGAGAGACGGGGCCGGGCGCGGGCTAGGTACGGGCCGGTCGCGGGCTAGGTACGGGCCGGTCGCGGGCTAGGTACGGGCCGGTCGCGGGCTAGGTACGGGCCGGGCGCGGGGTTAGGTATGGGCCAGGCGCGGGCTAGGTACGGGGCCGGGCGCGGGCGAGAGACGGGGGCGGGCGCGGGCTAGGTACAGGCCGGGCCGGGCGCGGGTTAGGTACGGGGCCGGGCGCTGGCGTGGGACGGGGCCTGGCGCTGGGCTAGGGACCGGGCCGGGCGCGGGCTAGGTATGGGCCGGTCGCCGGCTAGGTACGGGCCGGGCGCGGGCTAGGTACGGGGCCGGGCGCGGGGCTAAGGGCCGACGGGGCCGGGCGCGGGCTAGGAACGGGGCCGGGCGCAGGGCTAGGGGCCGACGGGCCGCGGGCTAGGGGTCGACGGGCCGCGTAGGCTAGGAGCGACGGGCCTAGGGGGGGTACTAGCAGCGTAGCAGGTGGTGGGCCCAAGGAACCTGCTCTGATTCCATGTGATAGTAACGAACGAGAATGAATGAACTAGCAAGCAGTTGGGTACAAGTACTAACCCTAATTGGGTTGTACCCCTTATGGGCTACCCCACTATAGTGTATACAAATGTAAAAGCTATAATGTTCTGACAGACAAATCCGCGTTGGACAAAACGGCGTTGGACAAATCCGCGTTGGACGAAATGGCATTGGACAAAATAGCATTGGACAAAACGGTGTTGGACAAAACGGCGTTGGAATAATCCTCGTTGGACAAAACGACGTTGGACAAAACGACGTTGGACAAAATGGCGTTGGACAAAACAGCGTTGAACAAAACGGCATCGTACAAATCGGCATTGGACAAATCGGCGTTGGACAAATCGGCATTGGACAAATCGACGTTGGACAAATCCGCGTTGGACAAATCTGCGTAGAACCAATCCGAGTTGGACAAAACGGCGATGGACAAATCCGCGTTGGACAAAACGGCGTTGGACAAAACGGAGTGGACAAAACGGCGTTGGACAAAACGGCGTTTGACAAAACGGCGTTGGAGAAATCGGCGTTGGACAAATCGGCGTCGGACAAATCGGCGTCGGACAAAACGGCGTCGGACAAATCGGCGTCGGACAAATCGGCGTCGGACAAATCGGCGTCGGACAAATCGGCGTCGGACAAATCGGCGTCGGACAAATCGGCGTCGGACAAATCGGCGTCGGACAAATCGGCGTCGGACAAATCGGCGTCGGACAAATCGGCGTCGGACAAATCGGCGTCGGACAAATCGGCGTCGGACAAATCGGCGTCGGACAAATCGGCGTCGGACAAATCGGCGTCGGACAAATCGGCGTCGGACAAATCGGCGTCGGACAAATCGGCGTCGGACAAATCGGCGTCGGACAAATCGGCGTCGGACAAATCGGCGTCGGACAAATCGGCGTCGGACAAATCGGCGTCGGACAAATCGGCGTCGGACAAATCGGCGTCGGACAAATCGGCGTCGGACAAATCGGCGTCGGACAAATCGGCGTCGGACAAATCGGCGTCGGACAAATCGGCGTCGGACAAATCGGCGTCGGACAAATCGGCGTCGGACAAATCGGCGTCGGACAAATCGGCGTCGGACAAATCGGCGTCGGACAAATCGGCGTCGGACAAATCGGCGTCGGACAAATCGGCGTCGGACAAAAGGGCGTCGGACAAAAGGGCGTCGGACAAAAGGGCGTCGGACAAATCGGCGTTGGACAAAACCGCGTTGGACAAATCCTCGTTGGACAAAACGGCGTTGTACAAAACGGCGTTGGACAAAACGACGTTGGACAAAACGGCGTTGGACAAAACGGCGTTGGACGAAACGGCGGCATTGGACAAAACTGCGTTGGACAAAACAATGAGCGCGAAGTAGCGTTGGACAAAACGGCATTGGACAAACCCGCGTTGGACAACACGGCGTTGGAAGAAACGGCGTTGGACAAATCTGCGTTGGACAAAACGGCGTTGGACAAATCCGCGTTGGACAAAACTGTCAAAATGTTATATAGCTTATATTGTGTAGGCTTTAGTGGGGTAGCCCCTAAGAAATACAACCCAATTAGGGTTAGTACTTGTACCCAAATCTTTCTTAGTTCATTCATTCTTGTTCATTATTCTGACATGGTTTCAGAGCAGGTCCTCCGCTAGGACCGGTTTTTCTTGGGCCCACCACTGCACTGCCCTTAGCGGCCCTCGTGTCGCCCCTTGGCCCGTCGCCCCTAGACCCGTTGCCCCTACCTCGGCCCGTAGGCCCTAGCCAGCGCGCCCCTAGCCTGGCCCGTCGCCTCTAGCACGGCCCCGTCGACCCCTAGCCCGCGAGCCCCGGCCTGTCGACCCCTAGCCCGCGCGCCTCGGCCCGTCGACCCCAAGCCCGCGCGCCGGCCCGTCGACCCCTAGCCCGCGCGCCGGCCCCGTCGACCCCTAGCCCGCGCCCCGGCCCGTCGACCCCTAGCCCGCGCGCCGGCCCCGTCGACCCCTAGCCCGCGCGCCCTGGCCCCGTCGACCCCTAGCCCGCGCGCCCTCGCACTATCGACCCCTAGCCCGCGCGCCGGCCCCGTCGACCCCTAGCCCGCGCGCCCTGGCCCTGTCGACCCCCAGCCAGTGCGCCAAGGCCTCGTCGACCCCTAGCCCGCGCGCCCCGGCCCGTCGACCCCTAGCCCACGCGCCCCGGCCCGTCGACCTCTAGCCCGCGCCCCGGCCTGTCGACCCCTAGCCTACGCGCCCCGGCCCGTCGACCTCTAGCCCGCGCCCCGGCCCGTCGACCCCTAGCCTATGCGCCCTGGCCCCGTCGACCCCTAGCCCGCGCGCCGGCCCCGTCGACCCCTAGCCCGCGCCCCGGCCCATCGAACCTTAGCCCGCGCACCCTGGCCCTGTCGACCCCTAGCCCGCGCCCCGGCCCCGTCGACCCCTAGCCCGCGCGCCCCAGCCCCGTCGACCTTAGGCCCCCGGCCCCTTGGCCCCTGCTGCTACTACTGCTGCTCCTGCTGCTACTGCTACTACTACTGCTGCTACTGCTACTGCTGCTACTGCTGCTCCTACATGCTGCGCCACTATGGCTTCGCTTCGAGTTCTCGCGTTCGATCATGAGGGCAGACCGATTCAGTTTGGCACGTTGCTCGACGACCTGCAGCTGTACCTACTGAGCGATTCTAAGGACATTGTTTCACTGTTTGACCTCGCGTCAGGCGCCGCTACAGCCCCTCCCGCCACAGCTGACAGTTCGACTCGCTCACAGTGGCTTACTCACGACGCTGCTGCCCGCTTAGCCATTCGCAACCACCTGCCGTTAGCCGAATGCGCTCACTTCGGACAGCACAGGACAGCACAGGCACTGTACGACGCTGTAGTCGCTCGCTACTCCTTGCCTGCCACTGCTGCTCTAGGCCCCCTGCTTCTGCCCTACCTTTTCCTAGAGCTGTCAGCCTTTGCCACGGTAGAGGACCTTGTTTCCCACCTGCGCACTAGTGACGCTCGCTACCGCGCTACCGTCCCTGCTGAGTTCCTTGACAGGAACCAGCCCCCGATGTTCATCACCCTCTACTTCATAGTCACTCGCCTCCCTGACTCTTTTCGCTCTGTCAAGGACCACTTTCTCTCACTTGACCCCACCTCCCTCACTGTTGACCTACTTGAGCAGCACCTCCTCGTAGCTGAGACTAGTGCAGTTGCTGTAGGTGCTGCTCGTGGCACTCCGCGCCCGCCCTTCTTTGAGGGGTGCTCCCCCTCCCCCCTTGCCCCCTCCTACGCCTCTGCTGCTTCTGCAGACGTCCCTGGTGCTGAGGACGTCGGAGCTGCTTCTGCTAGTGCGAAGCGCCACAACGGCAAGGGCAAGGGTAGCAGGGGTGGTGGAGGGGGCAGCGGAAGTGGTGTTGGGGGCAGCAATGGAGGTAGTGGAGGCAGTGGAGGTGGTGGCAGCGGTGGGAGTGGTGGCGGGAGTGGGGGCGTTGGTGGCGGCGGTGGAGGCAGTGGTGGGAGTGGCGGTAGTGGCGGCCGTGGGAATGGTGGCGGTAGGACTGAAGCTCGGCGTGGAGATTCTGGAGGTGGACAGCGGCAGCAGCAACAGCAGCGTCGGAGCGAGACCCAGTCGCCCCAGCAGCTTCGAGAGTGGTTGTTTCAGCGTGGGACGTCTGGGGGTAGTGATAGCTGCCCGTATGTCATTCGCACGGGTGACCGTGCTGGTCAGCATGTGGGAGGCTTCACACTCAGCACCGCTGCTTCTCCCACCTCGACGACGCTTGACGTGCTGAGTTTGGTGACGAGGTCGAGTGCCCTCGCTGGGCAGATATGCTTAGGTCTAGAGTTGCTATCTTTGACCTAGAATTTGATCTTATTCTTACTGCTATGTATGCTTTGTTTGCTAGTGCTGAGGGTGACTGTTACCGGTGTGTGCCGCCTGACCCAGGTACAGCCGCTGCTGCTCTAGGTGCTAGTGAGTCTGTTCTCCTTGGTACTGTGCCTATTGAGGCCTTGCACACCTTCACGCTGGTCTTAGGTGCCTCACGCTGTTTCTTTTGTGACAGCACCACTCTCACTCCTCTCCCTGCACCTGTCCCGGTCAGACTGGCTGACCCCAGCGGAGGCCCGGTCGTTGCCCGTTCCTCCATTGTCCTCCCGTGTCCGGCGGTTCCGTCCGGCTCACTGTCGGGTCTTCACCTCCCCTCGTTCTCTAAAAAATTGGTGAGTACCGCTGCCCTCCAGGATGCGATGGTCACTACCACCACTCCTGGGGGTCAGCGTGTGTCGATCTGCATGTGTACACGGATGGGTCGTCACCTGGCCATGTTCACTCGTCGGCCAGGGTCGAGTCTGTACACACTCGCTACCGAGCCTCCTCAGGTAGCTGCGTCTGCTCAGGTGTTCGCGTCAGGTCAGGTAGCACCCCCTTGCTCGTGTCGCCTCCTGTCGCACCAGACTCTTTTGTGGCACCACCGCCTGGGTCACCCCTCCCTGCCACGCCTTCGTGGCATGCACTCCCGTCTCTGGTCTCTCGTCTTCCCAGGTCTCTGCCTCCCCTCCCGCCCTTGCCTGCCCCGCCCTGCCTTCCTTGCGTCGAGGGGCGGCAGCTCGCCGCTCCTCACTCCTCGTTTCCCCCGACGACTGCTCCCCTGCAGACTCTCCACATGGACGTGTCGGGCCCAGCCCGCGTCAGTGGACAGGGCCGCGAGCGCTACTTTCTGCTGGTTGTTGACGACTACACGTGGTACACCACGGTCTTCCCCTTGCGCTGCAAGGGTCAGGTTGTTGATGTCTTGATCCCTTGGATCCGCACAGTCCATCTCCAGCTCCGCGAGCGGTTCAGTACGGACCTTCCTGTCCTACGTCTGCACTCTGACAGAGATGGTGAGTTCTCCTCTGACCTCTTGAGGGACTTTTGTCGTGGGGAGGGCATTCTCCAGTCGTTCACGCTTCCGGCCTCCCCTCAGCAAAATGGGATTGCTGAGCGCCGCATTGGCTTAGTCATGGAGGTCGCTCGTAACTCCATGATCCATGCGGATGCTCCCCATTTTCTGTGGCCGTTTGCGGTCCGGTACGCTGTGCATCAGCTCAACCTCTGGCCCCGTGTCTCCTTGCCGGAGACCTCGCCCACACTGCGTTCGACGAGGCAGGTTGGCGATGCGTCGGTGTTCCGGGTCTGGGGCTCTCGTGCCTTTGTTCGCGATACGTCCGCGGACAAGCTCTCCGCCCGCACTTTTCTCTGCGTCTTCCGGGTCCGGAGCTCTCGTGCCTTTGTTAGCGATACTGGTGCTGGAGGCACTGTGCGGCCGCGACCGTACTTCTTTCCCCTGCTTCAGCAGGTTCTTGGTGTCCCGTCTTCTCCTGGCCTTACTCCTCCCTTACTGTGTCCACCGCCTGACCCGTCGCAGCCGCTGTTACAGCCAGCCTCCACACTGCCTACTCCTTCTCCTTACATTGAGCAGGCCGGCGGTCTTACAGAGCGTCGTGAGCCTGCGTCTCGTCTTGCCTCCCCTGATTGCACTGGTCGTCACGTTCCTCGTCCCCGTCATCCTCCTGTCCCAGGCACCCACGCTATGGTACCTCGTCCTTCCTCTGTTCCACTGCGTGTTCCTCTTCCTGCCGTCCCTGACCCTGAGTCTGAACACGCTCGTGCAGCCAGTCCCACTTTCTCTCTTCTCCTCGCCACTGTCGTCATTGACCCTTCGTTTGAGTCCGCTGCTGCGTCTGCCCTCGTTGCTGAGCTTGTTGACTTTGCTGCTGCCTGTCGTCTAGACTACGCCACTGCTCTTGTTGCTGAGTCTGTGTCTGCCAGTCCTCCGTCCGTCGGGGGTGAGTTGTGCTCTTGGCACGGACGTCCTTGAGGACAGGCAGGAGGACTTTGAGTGTCTTGCAGCTGCTGTACCTCGTTTCGCTTCCATGTTGCTTGCCCCTGAGAGAGACCCGGATGCACCAGACATCCTGACCCTGCGCTCTTACGCAAATGCGATTACGGGTCCTTACTCCTCTTAGTGGCAGGCCGCCATGGATGCCGAGATGGCATCTTGGAAGTCCACAGGCACCTACATGGACGTACTTCCCCCGTCTCGGGCGAACATAGTCGATGGCATGTGGATTTTTAGGGTGAAGCGGCCGCCGGGTTCTCCGCCTTCCTTCAAGGCGCGTTACGTTGCTACAGACTTCACTCAGCGACAAGGGGTCGACTACTTCCAGACCTTCTCCTCCACCCCGAAGATGACTACTCTTCGCGTGTTGCTACACGTTGTTGCTCAGCGTGACTACGAGTTACACTCTCTGGACTTCAGTATAGCTTTCTTGCAGGGCAGCCTGCACGAGGAGATCTGGATGCACCGCCCACCCGGCTTCACTGTGTCGTTTCCTGCAGGTACCCAGTGGAGCCTCCGGCGGCCAGTCTACGGTCTCCGCCAGGCCTCGCGAGTGGCACGACACACTGAGGACTACACTTGCGGCTTCAGGGTTTACTCCTTCTACTGCTGACTCGTCACTGTTTCTACGCACCGACACGTCACTGCCGCCGTTGTACGTCCTCGTGTACGTCGACGACCTCGTCTTTGCCACTGCTGACACTGAGGCACTGACCCTTGTGAAGTTGGAGCTGCAGAAGAGACACACTTGCACTGACCTGGGTGAACTGCGCAGCTATCTTGGCTTGCAGATCACCCGGGACAGAGCTTGGCGCACCATCACACTAACTCAGTCACACATGATGTACCAGGTCCTTCAGCACTTCAGCTTCCAGTTCTCCTCGCCACAGCCCACTCCTCTGTCTACCAGCCACTCGCTCTCAGCTCCACCTTCGGACAAGTCCGTAGAGCCGAGTGGTCCGTACCCAGAGCTTGTGGGTTGCCTCATGTACCTGATGACGTGCACACGACCTGACATTGCGTACCCTCTCAGCCTCCTAGCTCGCTACGTGGCTCCCTGTAGGCACCGAAAGGTGCACTGGGATGCTGCGAAGAGGGTACTGCGTTACTTGTGCGATACGACAGGCATGGGGCTCATGCTTGGAGGACGGAGTCCAGTTGTCCTCACCGGTCATGCAGACGCTTCTTGGGTTGACGACTCAGCTACGCACTGGTCGTCACAGGGTTACACCTTCAGCCTCGGTTCCGACTCTGTTTCCTGGCGGTCTACCCGCTCGTCTTCTGTTCTCAGCTCCAGTTGTGAGGCTGAGATCTACGCTGGGGCCATGGTTGCACAGGAGCTATGCTGGCTCACCTACCTGCTCTGACTTGGGCGAGCAGCCTCGTTTGCCTCCAGTTCTGTACATAGACAACAAGGCCATGATTGCCTTGTGTGAGGAGCACTGACTGGAGCACAGAACGAAGCACATTGCTCTGCGATAGTTCATTGCTCGAGAGTTGCAGCAGCGTGGCCAGCTTCGTCTTGCGTACGTGGCCACTAGGGCCAACACTGCTGATATATTCATCAAGGCACTTCCGCCTGGTGATCATCAGCGCTTCTCTACTTTGTTAGGCCTTGTGCCTACTTTGCCTCACTTGCTTATTGCGTGATTTTGCTTTTACTGTGATCTATATATATACCTGCATGCTTACACTTGCTAGGGTATGATCATTGTATTGTTTGTTCTCTTTTATGTAACTCTGCATGTGAACTGGCCTTGTGGCGCTTTGATTGTGCTCGGACTGTGTGGTGACTTTGTGATCCACCCTGAGCTTGCTTTGCTTTTCTTGACTGGTCTTGTGACCACTTGTTCTCCCCCACTTTGCCTATGGGGGTGTGTCAGAATATTATAGTGCTTACATTTGTGTAGACTATAGTGGGGTAGCCCATAAGGGGTACAACCCAAATAGGGTTAGTACTTGTACCCAACTTCTGTTCAATGCATTCATTCTCGTTTGTTAATTTGACTGGTCTACTCAGCACAAGAGCAGATTCAAAATATCCATGTCAGAATGGTGTGGCGAAACATTTAGGGCTTGCCATAAATTCATCCCCACTACACCCATACCCGTTACTCATGCTATCGGAACGAAATCCCCTTTAGATACTGAATGCATGATAACCAAATAAGCCCACAAACATGGCCAAGAAAATACCATCTTTGTTCATCTGGCTGACCCACTCTCTTGTTAGAGGTCCACTGGTGATCCCCGATTGATCCTGGGGGGTTACAGGCTCGTTGTCCTGGGGGGTTATGGGCGCAGTGACCCGCTATTTAACAAGCCCTTTTATCCCAGTGGTCTAGTGACTGGGATCCTGACATGATATCAGAGCAAATATCTCGGGTTCGAATCCCAATGTGTGCACTTCGGGCATCACAGTGCGGGAGTGTGTCAGAGGTCCACTGGTGATCCCCGAGTGATCATAGGGAAGGGTTACAGACTCGTTGTCCTGGGGGGTTATGGGCGCACTGACCCGCTACTTAACAAGCCCTTTTATCCCAGTGGTCTAGTGACTGGGATTCTGACATCCCTAACCTTCTGCTTATCATACCCTTTCATTCATATCTCAGAGAAAAATTGGGACTTCATTGCCATCTCTTACAACCAACTCCTGCAGCACTAGGTGCGGTGTCTCGGTCAACCTTCATCTAAATCTACTACCGTCATCGCCCGGATATAAGACATATATGTCTTATCTCATACACTAAAAAAAATGCTTGGGTTATCTTGTATTTGGGGAGGTTTTGGGTGTCTTATAAGTCTTATAAATGGAAACTTTTTTAAACTACTTAGAAATATTTTCACACATCTTGAAAAGAGTTTCTCATTATGAGTGTGGATGTTGCGAAGGTGCCACTTCGGCAACCATTGTTCGGGGTGCCACGTCATGGAGAATACTTGCAAAGGCAAATTTGGTAGTACGTGAGTCAGCACGTGGCAGAATTCGCGTGTCGCAAGGGTAAAAATGTACGCGGTACTTCAATTTTCACTACAATATATTGCAGTTTCGATTATAAGACACATATGTCTTATCTCGTACACACAAATAGGTGTCTTATAATGAGGCTAGCCTGTTTATAAGAGACACCCGTATAATAGACAACCCCTGTCTACTATTCAACACTGTCTTATATCCGGGTGATGACGGTACAGTAATTCATCGTTCACAAACAATTTTTTTCTTCAGTCTTCCAACCTCTGTCGCCTCCGAGGAGGGCTTCTGTCTCCTCTCTCCTCTTCTCCCCCATCATTCCCTCTCCTCGCTTGCTGCGACGCTGCCGCTACTGCCATCGCTGCTTCCGCTGCCGCTGCCGCTGCCGCAGCAGCTGCAGTTGGTGCCACTGTCGCTCCTCCTCCTCCTCCCCTGCCTCCTGCTCCCCTTCCTCCTCCTCCACTTGCTCCTCGCCCCCCTCCACCCCTCCCTCTTCCTCCTAGACCCATTCTACCTCCTCCCCTTCCTCCCCTCCCTCCCCTCATCCCTCCACCTTCCACCCCAGAAAACTCTCCCCTCCCCATACCTCTCCCTTCCCCTCTCCCTCCGCCTCTCCCCCCACCCCTTCCCCCTCCTCCCATCCCTCCTCCTGGATGTCCCGGGCCTTCTCCAGGACCTCCTTGCCACCGAACCTGCGGCGGAGGCATGGGTTCGTTAGGACCTCCCATCATACCTCGAGGAGGAGGCTCGGGAAATCCGTGCCTCCTATCATCCAACGGCTCCAGAAAACCATGTCTTCCCGGGCCTCCAGGCTCGGAAAACCCCTGCCGTCCTGGACCTGACAGTTCGGAAAACCTCTGCCTCCCCGGGCCTGCAGGCTCGGGAAACCCCTGCCTTCCCGGGCCGGAAGCCCTAGGGAAGTGAGAGGGAGGGTTGTTGAAATTCGGATTGTGTGGTGGAGGCTGCATCTGGGGGAGGTTGTGCTGATTATGCTGCTCATGCTGCCCTAAAAACGGAGGGTGAGAGGTGGGAGGAGGGCGGTCCTGAAATGATTGCCTATCAGGCAGCATTTGCCGGTTTGGAGGCGGCATAGGGGTGCCGGGATGGTTGGGAGCGGTGGAAGGCAGTGAGAGGCGGTGAGGGGGTGCGTGCGAGGAAGGGTGGGAGGGAGGGTGGGAGGTGGAGAGGGGGGGCGGGAGGGACGAGAAGTGGGGGAGTGAGGAATCATGGAGGGGAGGCATGGGGTGGGGGGGGAGGGAACCCTCTCTGTTTGAATCCGGGTGCGGGAAGTGCTGCGGGGGGGGTGATGTGTGGTTGCGAGGGTGGGGGGAGGGGGCGAGGGAAGGATGGTGAGTACCCTGGCGCCCCTGAGGAGGATGGGGACCGTGGGGGCCAGGTGCATGGGGGGCATGGGGGGGATGCGAGGGATGGGGAGGATAAGGACTTGACTGGGGGGGATGGTTAGGGGGATGGGGAGATGAGTGGGAGGGGAGCGGGTGGAGCATGTGAGGGGGAGGGTGAGGGGATGGGTGAGAGGAGGGATGTTGTTGGCCATGGGGAGGAGGCGGATGGGGTGAGGCATGAGGGGGATGATTTGGAGGTCCGTGCGGGGGACCATGAGCTCCGGAATGAGGTCCGGCATGAGGCCCGGCATTAGGCCCGGGATGGGCCCCGGAATGTGGTCCGGAATGAGGGCCGGAATGAGGCCCGGAGTGAGGCCCGGAATGAGGTCCGGCGGACACAGAGAGCCAGTCAGCATCAGGGAAGGCAGAGGTAAGCTGTTGAAAGAATATGCGGAGGAAGTGGTGGAGCTCCACTGATACCTGCAAGGCACCAAGGAAGTGGAGAAACAGGAGGAGAGGAAGAGGTGGAAGCAGGGTTAGTTGTTGAAAGAAGATGCGGAGGAAGTGGTGGAGCTCCACTGATACCTGTACAGGTGCACACATGAGGGGAGGAGAGAAATGGAAAGGGGGAGGCAGAGGAGAGGGTGAGAGGAAAATCATGGAGAGTGGAAGGCAATGGTTAGCTGCTGGGAGAAGATGCGGAGGAAGTGATGTAGCTCCACTGATACCTGCCGAAAGTATATAATCAGAGAAAATTGGAGGGAGGGGGGCAGAGGAGAGGCGACGAGTAAGGAGATTGAAAGGCAGGGGTAAGTTGCTGCAAAGATGCGGAGGACAGGGTGTAGCTAACGCACCTCTCGGTTGCCCTTGTGCCATCGCAAGTACCCCTCCACAACCATCCGAACATCTTCAAACACCTGCACCACCGATTGGTACCCCCCTGAAAACAACCTTTCTTCCACCCCTCCCATTATCAGCCCCATTCCCTCCATCTCCCCTCCCCCCCTTCCTCCTCCTCTCCCTCCACCTCTTCCTCCTCCTCTCCCTCCTCTTCCCCCACCTCCCCCGCTTCTTGCGCTGTCTTGACTTGCCGATTTATCCAACAAGTAATCTCCGATCCTCTGCCCTCTGCTATCCAGAGAGGCATTAAACTGCATTAGCATGTCTGCACATTTCCGAACCGCAAGCCCGGCAGGAGGCCCGGCAGGAGGTCCGGCAGCCGGCGGAGGTCCGGGCCGAGGAGGTCCGGCAGAATGGATTGGTCCAGCAGGATGCATAGGTCCGGCAGAACGGTTAGGTTCTCTAGAGTGGATAGGTCCAATAGGAGGTCCGGAGGGGAGTGAGTGCTCCGTGAGATGCCTTGGTCCGGAAGGGGGCATAGGTCCGGCCGAACCAGAGATAGGTCCGGCAGAATGAGGAGGCAGGGAAGTGGGGTGAGAGGATTGGTGGGAGGAAGCAGAAGGGTGATTGGGATGCAGTTGCGGTAATGGTGGGGGGGAAGAAAAACCCGTCTCTCGTCTCTCCCCCATCCCTCTTTCCTCCCTCATCCCTCCTCCCTCTCTCATCCCCCCTCCCTCGCCCATCCCTCTTCCATCCCTCATCCCGCCTCCCTCTCTCATCCCGCCTCCCTCTCTCATCCCTCCTCCCTCCCTCATCCCCCCACCCGCACGTGCTGCTGTTGCTGTGCCGAACCTTCCTCCTCCTGGTTCCCTTCCCTCTTCCGAACCTGACCTGAAGCCCGGAGGGTTAGCAAACCTGTCATCCCGAGCCTCATTCCCCCCAGACCTGTCTCCCCAAACCTCACCCTCGCCAAACCTCTCATTCCGAACCTCACTGCCACTGAACCTGTCCCTCTCATCCCTCCCCTGGAAACCCCTCGGTGTTGAAATCCCCCTTCCAGGAAATTCCCCTCCTTTTCCCCCCTGCCCTCTTCCCCCCTCCTCTCTCCCTCCCCCTCGCCCTCCCCTCCCCACTCCCTCCCTCCCCCCTCCTCTCCCTCTCCCCCTTCCTCCTCTCCCACCCCTCCCTCCTTCCCTCCCTCTTCCTCGTCCTCTACCTTCACCACTCCCCACCGCACTCAACCGCACTGCGCTCTCTGGTGGGGGGCCGGGAGGTGGGGGTGGTGGCGGCAGCAATTGCACCCCAGCGAAACCAGGACCAGCACCACCAGCAGCAGCACCAGCAGAAGAACCACCAGCGGCAGCAAAACCAGAAACAGAAACAGCAACAGCAGAGCCAGAAGCAAGGGACATTCTTGGTGGCGGCGGTGGTGGTGGTGGTGGTGGTGGTGGTGGTAAACGTTCAGCCAGATCTCTCTCTCCTTCTCTTCCCACTACAGTCTCCTCCTGAATCTTCCACACCCATTTTCTTTTCCCACCTCCCAACATCTCGTTTCTCTCTCCCCCTCGCTCCCCTCTGCCTTCTTGCATCCTCTCTCCTCTTCCTTCCAGTTGATTACGATTCACCTGCCATTGCTCCTGTCCCACCTGCATTGCACCCTCCTCTTTCATTTCCCCTTCCTCCCCCCTCTCCCCTTCCTCCATCCCCTCTCCCCACTCCCCTTTCCCCTCCTCCCATCCCTCCTCTCTTCCCCACTCTCTCTCCTCTCCCTCCTCCCACTCCCCTTCCTCTGCCTCCCCTTCCTCCCCCTCCTCTTCTCCCTCCTTCGCCCCCTCCTGCACACCCTCTTGCATCTCTCCCTTTCTCCCTCCTCCCTCACTTCCTCTCCTCTCCCCTCCCTCACTCCACTGCCTCTCCCAAGGCCCTCCCTTTTCATCCCTACCCACCAAGCCTACTGCAATCCCCATCCCACCATCCTTCCCCCTCTCTCTACCACCATCAATCCCCGCATCTCTCTTCCCCCTCCCTTCCGATTGTCCTTCCTCCCAACCTTTAGAGTCCTGCCTTGGAAAAACCATCATCCCACCATCCTTCCCCTTCTCTCTGCCACCACCAATCTCAACATCTCTCTTCCTCCTTCCCTCCTCTCCCTCTTCTTGAACATCCACCCTCCTTCCCCTCGCCCTCCCTTCCTCTTCTCCTTCCTCTCTACCCTTAGAGTCCTGCCTTGGAAAAACACTATCGCTTACCCACCTCCTCCCTCCCACTCCCTCCTCTCCCTCTACCCCTTTTACACCCCTTTCTTTCTTCCGCTCCTCTCCCCGCTTCTCCTCTCCCCGTTCCCCACCAACTCCCAGCCTCTCCCTTCGTTCCCTGCTTTCCCTTTCCTCCCTGTCTCTCTTTGCATCAGTAAACATCCCTCTGCTATCTTTACTCCCCTCAGCAGTAACCCTCCTTCCCGTCTCCTCGCTTCTCTCACTCTCCCTCCTCTCCCGCCCTCTACTTCTCTCTCGCTCCCCATCCCTTCCCCATTCCAACTGCCCCTCCTCTCCTCGTCTCTCACGCCCCCTTCTCTCCTTATTCTCCCTGCTCTCTCTCCTCTCTCTAGTCTCCCTATTCTCCCTCCCGGCCTCGCTTCTCTCTCTTCTCCCCAAAGCTCGATGCTCCTGCTTTAACCTCTCGCTTCCCACATCAACAGTACGATCCTCCCTCTCCCTCTCCTCCCCTCTCGCCCTCCCCTTCTCCCCCACCCCCTCTCTCAACCCGTCTTTCTCCCCCTCCCTCCTTATTCCCCTTTCCCTCTCCCTGTCTCGTTCCCTCTCCCTCTCCCTGCGCACCTTCTCTTCTTCCTCCCCCTCCCGTTTCCTCTCCTTCTCACTTCCTCTAGACCTCTCCCTGTCTCTCCTTTCATCCCTCTCCTCTCCCTTTCTATCCACCACTCCTTCCCTCCCTCTTCTGTCTCTATCCCCCACCTCCCCTCTTCCTCTCTCACTCTCCTCTCCTTTGCCTCTCTCCTTCGTCTCCTCCTTCCTCCTCTCCTCACTACTCCTCTCCTCCCTCCTACTACTCTCGTCCCTCCTCCTCTCCTCACTTCTTCCATGGCCTTCCACCACCCTCTTCCCTTCAACCACCACCCCATCACCCCCCTCTCTAACCCTCCCACTCTCCCTCCTAGTCTCCCTCTCGCTCTCCCTCCCACTCTCCCGCCCACTCTCCCTCCCGCTCTCCCTCTCACTCTCCCTTCCACTCTCCCTCCTCCCACTCGCCTTGTCCCCATCCCTCTGTCCAGTCTTAACACTCAATGCGAACACGATCTCCTTACCTCTCCCTACCCCTACTCCCTCCTCTTCCTCCTCTCGCTCTCTCTTCTCTCTATCCTCCCCTCCTTCCTCCCCGTCCCCTCTCTTTTTTCCCGTCATCACTCGTTCCTCCTCTCCATCTCCCTCCTTTCTTTCCGGTCCCTGCTCTTTCCTGTCCCTGTCCTGTCCTGTCACCCGCTCTTCTTTCTCACGACTCTCCCCACCTGCCCCACTCCCTAACTTCGCCTCTTCTGCAGCCCACTCCTTCCTCCATCCTGCTCCTCCCACATCCATTGTAACTTCTGCTCCTTCTTCTTCCGCCAAACCGTATCTTCTATCCAAGATGTTAGCTTCTATCTTATCACCTTTCACTTTATCACCTTTCACTTTATCATCTTTCACCTTATCGACCTCCATACCCCTCTCTACTCTTGGCTCTTCAAGCCCTATCCCGCTCTCCCTCCTCTCATCCTCCTTCCTGTCGTCACCTCCCCTTTGCTTCTCGCCCTTCCCCTCATCCTTATTCTCTAATTTCTTCTGCTCCAAATCCTCCATATAAGCATAATCCCTATCAACATAAGCTTCCGAGCCTTCTTTAGGGAACCCTACGCCTCCTCGTCCCCCTAGTGACGTCTCACTTGCTCCTTTCTCCTCCCTCTCCTCCCTCTCCTCCCTCTCTTCCCTCTCCTCCAATTTGCACCCCCCACTCTCCCTTCCACCACTCCCCTTCTCCCTCCCCACTTGCTCCTCCTCTTCCTCTTCACCGTACCGCCTCTCACCCATCCCCACATCTCCATCATCCCCAGTTTTCACATCATCCCTCAATCTTACACCCTCCCCAGTGCGCCCACCACTGCTGCTGCTACCGCCAGCACCGCTGCTACTGCTGCTGCTGCTGTCGCCACTGTCACTGCTGCTACCACTACTGTTTTCGCTACTGCTGCTGCTAGTGCCCTTCTTGCCGCTCTCAACTGCCTTCTTCTCACTGTCGCAGCTCCTCTTGCTGCTGGTTCCGCCGCCCATGCTGCTGCTGTCACTACTGCTGCTCTTGCAAGGTTCTTCACTTTGTTTCGCCCCTTTCACAAGAATTCCTCCTGCCTCTGCTTCCTCTGCTTTCTCCCTCACCTGTTGCTGCTGCTTCTCCCTCTTCTCCTCTCTCTTCTCCTCTCCCTTCTCTACGCTCTCTTCCGCTCTCTCCTCCACTCCGCTTTCCCCTTCCCATGCCATCACAGGCAGAAGCAATTTCTCCCCTCTCCTCTTCCCTCCTTTCAGCATCTCTGCAACAGTAAAACCTCCCCTCTCAACACCTCCTGCTCTCCTTGCCGCTGTTTTCTCCATCTCCTCCTTCCCCCTCTCCTCCCTCTCCCTCTCCCCCTCCCTCTCCCTCTTCCTCTCCAAATTCTTCATACCAGCAGCACTCTGCTGGTGGTCAGAGCGGCTCCTGCTCCTCCTCACACCCCAACCAGCACTTACCAAAGCATCATGCTTATCCTTCTTCCTACGCCCTCCACCCCTACCAGGCAGTAAAATCCTCCTCCTTCTCTTCATCTCCCCAACCTCCCCTTCTGCTCTGCCTGCCCCCTCTTCTTCGTTCTCCCTTTCCCCCTCTCTCACAATCTCTCCTCGTATCTCTCCTCCGTCTAATCCTTCCTCTCTTCCTCCATCTCCTTGCTCCCCTCCTCCCCTTTCCCTTCCAGTATATTCCCTTTCTTCCTCCCCAATTGCCAAATCCTGCACGCCTTCCTTCCTCTGCCCAGCCTTTCCCGTCGCTTCCTCTATTCCCTCTTTTCCCGCTCCTCTTGCCCCTACCGCCCCTGCCGCCCCTACCGCCCCTACCGCCCTTACCGTCCCTACCGGCCCTACCGTCCCTCCCTTAGAATCTTCTTGAACCACTACCCCCAGCTTCCTCTTCCGTCCTAGCTTCCTCCCCGTACCAGCACCAGCACCAGCAGCAGCACCAGAATCACCACCAGCACCACCAGCACCAGCACCACCAGCAGTAGCCGCATCAGCAACAGGACCACTCATTTCCTTATCCACCTCAAGGCCCCTCCTCCCCTTCCAAACCCCTTCCCTCACAATCTCTTCCTTCGCTTCTCTTCCTCTTCCCATCTTCTCCTCAACCACCTTCCCCTCCTTCCTCTGCTCATCCCTCACACACTCCTGAAACATCCTGCTCTCTTTCCCTCTCTTCGCCTCCTCATCATCATCCTCCTCTGCCTCTTCTCGCTTCCTGTCCTCTTTCCTCTCTTGCCCCCTCTCCTTCTCCTCTCCCGTCACTAGACTCGCTACACTCCTCTTCTTGCTCACCCTGGGACTCGGGAGAACAGCACGAGACTCTTTAAGAGCCAACTCGCTATAAGCCTCGCCCTTGGACTCGTTATTATACTTGCTCTCGATCTGCAGCTCGCGTTTAGAAGCAACAACCCGCGGAACCCGAAACGGCTCTACCTGTATTCCCGGCCTAGCTGTTCCCTCCTCCCCTCCCTCCTCCCCTCCCGTCACTCCCTTCTTCCCTCCCTTCCCTCCCTTCTCTGCCTTCCCTTCCCTCCCACCCAGCACATGAATCTCCCCAGCCGTTTCCCCCTCGCCCCCTCCCTCAACCTCCACCCCTTTATCACCCCTTCTCTTCCTCTCCGCTTTCTCTTTCCGCTTCGCCTTCGCCCCCTCCTTCCCAGACACCATCCCCTCCTTCCTCACAGCTTCTCTGCCTTCCTTTACTTGCTCCTTTGCATCCTTCTCTCCCTCCTTTACTATCTCCACTCCCCTCCCGCGCTCTGCTTCCCGCTTAATCTTCTCCTCTCGCCCCTCATCCCTCCACCTCTCCTTCCCATCCTTCCCCTCCTTCCCTTCCTTCCCCTCCTCCCTTTCTTTCCTTTCTTTCCTCTCCTCCTCCTCCTCACCCATCCTTTCCTTCCTCTCCCTCCCATTACTCCTAACCTCTCCTCCACCCACTATCCCCTCCTTCTCTCCCTCCTGCCACTCAGCCCCACTCGTCTTGCCGTGACCGCTACTGTGCTTGCGCCGATGGTGGTGGTGGTGGTGCCGGTGCTGCTTCTTCTGCTCCTTCTCCTTCGCCTGCCCACCTCTCTCCTGCTCTCCCCTCCCCTGCTCACCTCTCTCCTCTTCACCCTTCTCCTTCTTACCCTTCTCCTCAGCCCTTACCTCTTTCCTTCCAGCACCAACCCCTCCCATCCCCGCCCATCCTTCCCTCCCCTCCTTCCCCACTCCACCTCTCTCCTCCCTCTCATCCCCTCTATTGAGCTCCTCACGGACTCCCTTTAAGAGCTTCAGCCTGCCGTCACTTCCCTTGGAAAGCTTAAACCTGCGGCGTTCCTTTCCCCCTCGCTTTCCCTCACCAGTTAAGTCCTCTACATCATTCCTCAGCTTTGCATCTTTCCTAAGCTCTGCACCTCCCACCCCATCTCCCATCATCTCCCTTTCCTCCACCCTTTCTTCATCTTCCATCATCTCTTTATCTTCCACCCTCTTTCTATATCCCCTCTTCCGCAACTCTTTCCCTCCGTACCCTCCTCTTCTCCCCCCCCTCCCCTTCCTCCCCTCCTTCACACCCACTCCTACTCCTGCAAACTCCCCACCATCTTTCCCAAGCCTCTCACCATCACCCTCCACCCATATCCCTTCCTCCTCCTCTTCCTCCTCTTCCTCCTCATCCTCTTCCAAAACTACCTCCTCCTCTACCACCCCTTTTACCCTCCTCTTACCCTGTTTCTCAACTCCTTCCTCCTCCCCTTCATCCGCCTCCTCCCCTTCACCCCCCACCTCCCCCCCACCACTCTCTCTCACCCAACGAACATCCGCTCCTTCTCTCTCCTCCTCTTCCTCCTCCTCTGCTGCTACTCCCTCTTTTCCTTCCACACGCTCCCATCCTTCTACCTCTTCTTGTTCCTCCTCCTCACCCTCCTCTTCATCTTCCTTCCCCACCATCATCTTATCCCCCATTGCCTCTGCTCCTCCCTTGTCCTTTTCCTCACCCCCTTCCTCCTCTTCCCCATCATTCCCCCCATCAAATTCCCCATCCCCCAAAATCATTCCCTCCTCCTCCACCTCCCCTCCCTCCCCCCTGTCAACACCTCTACCCCCTCTCCCTCCGCTCTTGAACTCCCCTTCCTCCTCTTCCTCCTCCTCCTCCTCTCCTCCCAATTTCTCTCCCTCTTTCCACTCCTCCACCTCCACAGGCTCGGCCGAACCTCCCTCCGCCCCTCCCTCTTCCGAACATGCCGCCTTCCTCCGTTTCCGAAGCGCAGGCTTGGCAGTCGTCGCAGCAGCAGCCGCCACCTGCTTCGAATTAGCCCTCAGCCAAGGAACCACCTCCCAAGCCTCCTCAACCAATCCCGGCCATTCCTCCTCCTCATCCATCCTATCAAAGAGCGCCAGCTCATCGTCCCCGCGGGCAATCATCCGGTTTACCTCGCGCATGGAGGGTACAGCCGGAACTGCCTCTTGGTACCGGTCTACATCCTTCAGCAGAGCTTCTAAAGTCATCCGCCGCTCCTCCTGTGTCGTGCGTTGGTCGAACCGGCCTGCGTTGATCACTTCATCGGCCATTTCTATCTTGTGCTGCTGTATCTTGGTGCGAACTAGCGTCTCTATGGAGCCAATGTACCGTGATCCGCCCCCACCCCCTTTTGCTCCTCCTCGCCCTCCTCCTTCCCTTCCTCCTCCCCTTCCTTCTCCTCTTCCCCCTCCCCTTCCTCTTCCCCTTCCCCCCCTTCCTCCTCCCCTCCCTGCTCCAGTTGATTGAGACGTTGGTGATTGCACCAATCCATCCTCCCTCTTCCTCTTTCTCCACCTCCCCTCTCTCCTTCCCCCCACACCTCCCTCCCCATCCCCCTCCCCCGCTCCCCCTCCTCTCCTCTCAATCTCATCCTCTTTACAGTGCGCTGCAGTAACCTCTGTAACCGCCTCGAGATACATGACCAAAACCTCCCTCTTCTGCCCAATCCTATGCGCCCTCGCTACTGCCTGCTCCTCATTCTTAGGATTCGGATCAGGATCATATATCACCACCGTATCCGCACTCTGCAGATTCAGCCCGCGCCCCGCCGCCCGAATGCTCAGCAAAAAGACAAAATGCTCCGACCCGGGCTTGTTAAATTCGCCAATCGCAGCCTCCCGAGCATCCAACGGTGTAGATCCGTCGATCCGGCAGTAGCTAAGCTTCCTCCACCGTAGATAATCTTCTAAGAGGTCTAGAAGCTTAGTCATGGTTGAGAATAGTAGCACCCTGTGCCCCGTGCGATGCAGTTTAAGCAGAACTCGGTCTAAGATATAAAACTTGCCGCACGTGCGAACGATCACATCCGGGCTGTAGAAAGAGGGGCCGGTAGGGTAACCAGCATCGGAAGCACCGTAAGGACTCGCACCAGCAGCACCAGCAGCACCACCAGCAGCACCAGCAGAGCCACCAGAACCAGCAGCAGGAGGGGCAGGAACAGTTAGGTCATAGGAGGAGTAGGTCAAGAATGGGTGGTTAACCACCTTCCTAAGCTCCATACACTTGTTCTGCACCGGCACAAACTCCCTCACATACCTCTGCACCGTACTCCCGCTGCTCTTCCCCGCAGCCACCCGCCGAGCCTCCTGCTCAGGGTCGGTCCGAAGCGTGCCCGTGGCTCGGACCCAGTCGTAGATCGCGGCTTGGCAAGCAGAGAGCGGGCAGCGGAGCACCACAGAGGTCTTTTTCGGTAGGTTTCCCTCTACATCTTGCACCATGCGGCGCAGCATGAAAGGTTCGAGAATCTGGTGTAGACGATGGATTACAATCACTTTCTTTTCAGTCTCTAGCCATTCTATTTCATCCGCTGCTGCCCCTCCTGCCCCCCCTGCTCCTCCTGCTCCGCCTCCTCCTCCTCCTCCCCCGCCTCCTTTGGTGTCCTTTTGGAAAGGGGAAGCAAACCAGTCGTTGAAAACCTTGCTGGAGTCAAACACGTCTGGAAGGAGAAGGTTGAGAAGAGACCAGAGCTCCCGCAGGTCATTCTGTTGGGGTCAGCAACGCACACAGGGGGAGACAATGCGGGAAGGGGGAAAGGAGAGCATGGGGTCTTGGGGAGTGGGACAGGGGGATGCGAACCAATCGCTGAAGGCTTTGATCGAGTCAAACACGTCTGGGAGGAGCAGGTTGAGCAGCGACCAGAGCTCCCTTGGGCCGTTCCGCCAGGGGAAAGCATATGGGGAGAGACGGGCCGTAGAACTGAAAACCCCAAACCCTAGAGAGCCCTAAAGCCTTTACCCGGCGAGCCATGCATGGCTTTCCGGTGAGCAGCAGGCGGCCATGCCCTCTGAAGCGGTCCAGATCCCGTGAGAGGCCTTAGAACTCCTAAACCCTGAATGCTAAACCCTAACCCCTGACACCCAGCCCATGCAAGCCCTAAAGCCCCTTCCCACCTGCAGGGGCGTGCCAGTGAGCAGCAGCCTCCGCTGCACCCTAAACCGGTCCAGATCTCGTGACAGCCGCGAGTCCCGGTCCTTCATGCGGTGGGCCTCGTCAATCACCAGGTAGCGCCAGTCTACTTTGGAGAGGCAAGACAAGCCCTAGAACCCCAAACCCCAAACCCGCCTGGAGGGGAGTGCCGGTGAGGAGCAGGCACCGTTGCACCCTAAACCGGTCCAGATCTCTTGACAAGCGCGAGTCCCGGTCCTTCATTCGGTGGGCCTCGTCAATCACCAGGTAGCGCCAGTCCACTCCGGAGAGACAAGACAAGCCCTAGAACCCGAAACCCACCTGGAGGGGAGTGCCGGTGAGCAGCAGTCTTCTTTGCACTCTGAATCTGTCCAGATCTCGTGACAGCCGAGAATCCCGGTCCTTCATGCGGTGCGCCTCGTCAATCACCAGGTAGCGCCAGTCTACTTTGGAGAGGCGGGCCCTGTCACGCATGATGAACTCGAAGGTGGTTACCAGCACGTTGAACTTCATTGGCGCTACCTCCTGGGGAATGGAGGGGAGCAAGGGAGGGGAAGAAGTGTGTATGAGCCAACCTTAACAGTCCACTCGGGAGAGGCGCGCCCTGTCCCGCATGATGAACTCGAATGTGGTCACCAGCACGTTGAACTTCATCGGGGCTACTTCCTGGGGAATGGAGGGGAGCAAGGGAGGGGAGCAAGGGAGGGGAAGAAGTGTGTATGAGCCAACCTTAACAGTCCACTCGGGAGAGGCGCACCCTGTCCCGCATGATGAACTCGAATGTGGTCACCAGCACGTTGAACTTCATCGGGGCTACCTCCTGAGTGGGGTGCAGAGAGGGTGGTATTGGAGGGAGAACGGGAGATGTGAGTGAAGTCCTCTCAGCAGGCACAGGGAGAGGGACGGGCATGGTCCCGCATGATGACCTCGAATGTGGTTACCAGCACGTTGAACTTCATCGGGGCTACCTCCTGGGAGTTGGGAATTGGAAGGGGGAAGTAAAAGGGAAGAAATAGCAGGACTTGGACACACACAAGCGCATGCACACACGCGCACACACACACACACACGCACACACACACACACACACACACACACACGCACACACACACGCACACACACACACACACGCACGCACATGCGCTCATACAGAACAGACACGCACGCACACACGCACACACACACGCACGCACACACGCACACACACATGCGCGCGTGCACACACACACACACGCACACGCGCGCGCACACACACACACAAACACACACAAACACACACACACACACACGCACACACACACACACACACACACACAAACACACACACACCCATTGCCCCTCACCTTGGTATAGAACTTGGCGCGCTGGTCCTCCCCGCCCACATAGAAGACAGCAGAGAGGGATGGCAGCCAGGCGTGCAGCTCTGCCTTCCAGTTCACGAGCACGGCGTTGGGCCCTTGCTCTCTCTCCTCCCACACACACACACAGGCACACGCACACGCACACGCACAGACACACACGCACACACACACACGCACAGGCACGGACACACACGCACAGGCACAGGCGGCCCCCCACCTTAACCCATCCGCACCCCCCCACCTTGGTATAGAGCTTGGCGCGCTGGTCCTTGCCTCCCACATAGAAGACAGCAGAGAGGGATGGCAGCCAGGCGTGCAGTTCCGCCTTCCAGTTCACGAGCACGGCGTTGGGCACAATGATGAGGTGCGGGCCGTAGTTGCTCTTGTGCTCCATCAGATACGCTAGTAGCGCCATGACCTGGTGGGGGGGATGGGAGCAGAGGAGTGGAGTGGCAGGGTAGCCGCAGGGGTAAGGGTGTCAAGGGGCAGCAGTGGTGGAGGCGTGCAGCTCTGCCTTCCAGTTCACGAGCACGGCGTTGGGCACAATGATGAGGTGCGGCCCGTAGTTGCTCTTGTGCTCCATCAGATAGGCTAGCAGAGCCATGACCTGTGAGGGTGAGATGTGTGGCAAGGTGGCAGGTGTAAAAAGAGAGCGCAGCAACAGTGGAGGGTGGCATGATGATTAGATGACGGCCGTAGTTGCTCTTGTGCTCCATCAGGTAGGCGAGAAGGGCCATGACCTGGTGGGGGGAGATGGGCGGGGAACGGAAATGAACAGCACTCGTTCCCTCACTTGCTCCCTCACTCACTCCCTCACTTGTTCCCTCACTCGCTCACTCGTTCGCTCCCTCACTCACTCCCTCACTTTCTCCCTTACTCCCTCACTCGCTCCCTCACTCACACGCCGCATTGCACCTACGAGCACCGCACTGCACCCACCTGCACTGTCTTCCCCAGGCCCATTTCGTCCGCCAGAATGCCGTTGAGGCGATTGTTGTAGAGCGATACCATCCACTGCAGCCCCACCTGGTTACCAATCAATGGAATATAGGGTTGCAACACACAGAATAGGAGGAGAGAGAGCAGGAGGTGAGAGAGAGGGTGTCAGCAATAGTTGTAGAGTGATACCATCCACTGCAGCCCCACCTGGTTACCACTCAACGGGATATTGGGTTACACAGGGAGTAAGAGGAGAGAGTAGGAGGTGAGAGAGAGGGTGGCAGTGATTGTTGTAGAGTGATACCATCCACTGCAGCCCCACCTGAATAAGGAGTATAAGGTTACGTGGGGAGTGGGAGGGGAGATAGGGTTACACATACGGTTACGTACAAAAGAGAAAGGGGCAGGGAGGGAGAAGGAGAGTGGAAAAGATGGATTCACACTTGGGAGGTCAAAAGGTTGATAAACTGAATTTGATAATGAGAATTCTGAAAAATCAAGAAGTTGATATACTGCGGTTGCAGGAATTTTACTCTGGAAAATTCTGTCTCCCCACCCACAGCATAACAGCCTTGTGGAACTTCCAACTCAAACCCAGCACGAATCCTACTCACCATCTGGTATTCCCTGAGGGTGCCCATGCGCAGCATGGACGGCTGGTGGGTGATGGTCTCCGAGACCGAGTGAGCCAGCTTGTAGTACCTGAATGGATGTGACAATAGCAAGGGGGATGAGGCAGGTGGTCATGCCCAAGACAATACTTTTAGACACACCAAAAATATATATATCTAAAAAAAAAAAAACGCAACCACGTCACTAGCAGCTTTTCAGTACTTTTCCAGAACAAACAAACAAACAAACAAAAAACGAAGCCACCCCTCAGATTCTCACGCACTTGGACACAGCAGCGGCTCCTGTCTCCCCTCCAACCTCATCTCCCTCGGGACAGTCGTTGTGAGACATCCCAGTAAGGGGTGTAAACAAGGAAACAAGAATCACTTCAGTGTTTCAACTCACTTGGACACAGCAGCCGCGCCTGTCTCTCCTCCAACCTCATCTCCCTCGGGGCCGTCGTTACGAGACAGGCTGGCCACCACCCGTTGAACATACGCCTCCACCTCCTCCTCGCTCATACCCTGTGGGAGAGAGAGGGTGGTGGGGGAAGAGAGTTCATTAGTACAAGGAGGGAGGGACCGTCGTTACGTGACAGGCCGGCCACCACCCGTTGAACATACGCCTCCACCTCCTCCTCGCATGCCCTGTGGGAGAAACGAAGGGCGTGACGAGTGGAGGTGGAGGAGTGACTGGGGGAAGTGGGCTGACTTTTGAGTCGACTCAAAAGTCACCTGTGGGAGAAAGAAGGGAGTGACGAGTGGAGGTGGAGGAGTGACTGGGGGAAGTGGAGCCAAAAACACCATCCTCTCGCCTATTCCCTGACTCTTTAAAACGATTTAACATTTACCCCACCCAACCCCCCCTTCGACCTTCTAACTCAATTCAGCAATAACCCCACCCATCCCTCTCACCTTCTCCCGGGCCTCAGCAGCAGCAGCCACTGCTGTCTCCTCCACCTCTTGAACGCTCTTTGCAGCACAGATCTTCCCTCCCAGCTTCCACTTACCCAGCCCGCCCTCTATCTCACCTTCTCCCTGGCTTCAGCAGCAGCAGCCACAGCAGCCTCCTCCACCTCTTGAACGCTCTTAGCAGCACAGATCTTCCCTCCGAGCTTCCCCAGACCCTAAACCCCAAACCCTCTTCTTCCTCAGAGCACCCACCTTCTCCCTGGCCTCAGCAGCAGCAGCAACAGCAGCTTCCTCCACCACTTGAACGCTCTTAGCAGCACAGATCTTCCCCCCGAGCTTCCGCAAATACTCCTCCGTCTGGCTCAGAAACGAGCTCAGCATTTCAAACCTCTCCTTTGCACCCTTCCCCACCCCCGCCTTCTCTTTCTCTTCCTCCAGCATCGCTCTATAAGCATCCATATCGTTACTCTTTAGTAACATCTCCACCCGCTTCTGCCGCTCCTCCTCTCGCCGCCTCGCCGCCTCCCTCGCCGCCTGCTCGTGGAACCTCACTACGTGCCGATTCCGCGCCGCCCGCCCGTCGCGCGCCGCCAGCTGGCGGTCGGCGAGGATCTGCCGCCGGGCGGCGAAGACGGCCTTGAGCAGCCGGTCGCGGGCGGCGCGGCGCGTCACGGCGTGCGACTTGGCGATTTCGGCCCGTTGCCGGTGCGCCCAGCGCAGGAAGGAGCGGTAGGGGCGGTCGGGCATGGCTTGAATCTCCTGCTCCTCTGCCACCAGCTCTCTCCTCACCTTCGCCTGCTTGAGACCAGACACAAGGATTCGTGGACGGGTGGAGAGGAGGGGAAGGGAGTGGGGGAGCGGGAGGAGAGGAGAGGTGAGGGAGGTAGTTTTGGCAAGCTTTTTGAGAAGTGTAGAACGGGAAGAAGGGTTGCGGTGCGGCATCGTTGCCGGTGGGCCCAGCGGAGGAAGGAGCAGTAGGGGCGGTCGGGCATGGCTTGAATCTCCTGCTCCTCTGCCACCAGCTCTCTCCTCACCTTCGCCTGCATGGAATGTATCATCCAAGCACGGAAAGGGAAGGAATAGGGAGGAAGAACAGGTTTTACGAGCATGAAAGTGACATCCAGCTGAGTAAGGAGAGGTAACGGTGGTCGGGCATGGCTTGAATTGAATGTCCTGCTCTTCTGCCACCAATTCCCTTCTAACTTTTGCCTGCATGAGATAAGACACAAGTAACTTTTGAGAATTCTCAAAATTGAGATCAGACACAAGAATTCGTGCGAACAAGTCGCAGCACCAAAACTCGAAACCCTAACCCTAACAACACCTGGAATAGATGCTGCAAATAGAGGTCTTCGGACATGTCCGAAGCTCTTTTCTTTTCCTACTTGCTTAAACCTATTCCTAAGCTAGTGCAGCTCACTGGAAGAAATTTCCGAATATCTGCTAACAACACCTGGAGTAGATGCTGCAAATAGAGTCGCAGCACCTAACAACACTCCACCTGGGCACCTGAAAACACTCTACCTGGGCACCTGAAAACACACCTGAAAGTCCGCAAGCCGCAACATCTTCTGATGAATCCGAAGCTTGAGGCGATCCCTGGGCGTCAGCACCACCCCAGAGGCATCACCAGCATCACCACCACTACATCTCTCTATCCGCACCCCATCCCCTCCTCCCTCCTCCCCTCCCTCCTCCTGCTCGTCCTCCCGTCTTGTGAGCGGCAGCAGGGGGGGCAGGTCCTTGTCTGGCATGAAACTTGGAGCAGCAGCAGGGGGAGGAGTTGAATCACTCAAAGTGAGAGGCACAGCCCTGGGAGTAAAAGGCGCAACACCCAGAGCAGCAGGAGGAGGATAATCCTCCCCCAGCAGCCTAGCAATCTCCCGCAGCCGAGCCTCCCTGTTCGCCCGCACCATCCGCCCCACCTCCTCCCGGACCAGCCCCTGCAGTTTCGTGCCAAACCGCACCTGCCGCAGCGCCGCCCGAACCTCCTGCTGGCTCATTCGCGCTATGGCCTCTGCCACCCTCACTTTCTGAGTCGACGCATGAACAGCATGAACCCCTGTTTCTCCTGCTGCTGCTCCTGCCGCTCCTGCTGCTCTTCCGGCTGATGCTGCCCCTCCCATCTCTCCCATTCCTCCTCTCTCTCCTCCTAATTCTCCTCCTCCTCCTGCCCCTCCTCCCAGCCCATCCACCTCCTCTACCGCAGAACCCACAACTATCTCCTCAGCTGCTGTTACCGCTCCCACCCTCCCAGACCTGCCTTCCTTACCTCCCACTGCAGCGCGAATCAGATCTCCAAAACCTCCCACCTCTCTCTCACCACCCGCCCGGGCCGACCCTGCTCCAAAACCCCCGGCAACACCCCCTGCAACTACCCCCCCTGTCGCTGCACCCTCCCCTGCTGCATCCCCCATACCCACACCTTCAGCTATTGCAGCTTGAATAAGGGCTCTAAACCCTAGCGCCTCCCCAGCAGCAGCCACTTCCGCGCCAGCAATGGCAGCAGGCGTGGGGGGCGGGGGGGGCGTCGGAGGCTTGGGCACAGCGGCTTGGGCCGGACCTCTTGCCGAACCTGTAGCTCCGGCAGCAGCCATGGAAGGGACTGCAGCAGCAGCAGCAGAAGCAGGCTGGATTGAGGCTGAGCCTTTCAAGGGTGCTCCTACTCCTGCTCCTGCTGCTCCTCCTCCTCCTGCTGCTGCTCCTGCTCCTCCTGCTGCTGCTCCTGTTGTTGCTGCTGCTGCTGCTGCCCCTCCCTTTGCAGCCAACCCCTTTCGGACCTCCCCCGGCCTGCCACCTGCTAAGATTGCCACAGCAGCAGCATCAGCAGCCGCAGCAGCAGGACCCTTCAGCAGCACCGATTCCACTTGCTGCTGCCTCAATGTGGCTTTCGAGGAAATCAGGGCAGCAGCAGCAGCAGCAGCACCACCAGAAATTCCGGTGAAAGAACCAGGTTGTGCTACTGTATTCGGCCCTACACCTGTGGCAGTGCCACCTGCTGCTGCTGCTGCTTCCGCTGCTGTTGCTGCTGCTGCAGATGCGGTTACAGCAGCAAGCCCCTTCATCTGAGCAATGGTCTGTGCCTGCTGCATCTGCTGCTGCTGCTTCTGCTGCTGCATACCTGAAGCGGCCGCAGCAGCAAGCCCTTGGGAATTTCTTCCCTGCGATCCCACCTGCTCCTCCCCTTTCTTCTTCCCCTTCCCCTTCCCCTCCCCCTCCCCTCCCCCCACCTGCTCCTGCTTCTCCCCACCTTCCTCCCCCTCCTTCCTCCTCCGCTCCTCTTCCTTCTGCTTTCTCTCTCGCTCCTGCTGCTGCAGCAGCAGCCTCTGCTCCCTAAGCTCCTTCCTCCTCCTCTTCTTTGCATCTGCCTTCCGCTGCTTCCTCTCCTCGTCTGTCAGAAGCACTCGCCCTCCCCTCCCAATCACCCTACCTGCAGCGGCAGCAGCAGCAGCAATGGTAGCAACAGCAGCGCCAGCTGTAGCAGCGGCACCAGCTGGAACAGCAGAACCAGCTGTAGCAGCAGCACCACTAGCTGTAACAGCTGCAGCAGGAGTGGTAGCTGCGCCAGCGGCTGTAGCTGCAGCAGTGACGGCAGCAGGAGCAGCAGCAGGAAGAGAGGCCGAAACAGGAGCACTAGCAGCTGAAGCTGCAGCAGCAGCTGCTGCTGCAACGGTGGCTGCTTGAGCCTGCGCCTGAACGCCCTTCTGCCACTGCTGCTGCTTCTGCTGTGCTGTTTGCTGCATCAACCCAGCAGCAGCAGCACCAGCAGCACCACTACCACCACCAGCGGCAGCAACAGCAGATGTAGCACCAGCTGTAACAGGAACACCAGCAGGACCGACCTTCACACCTGGCAGACCACCGCCTACTGTCACCCCATTTACAGCAGCAGCTCCTGCTGCTCCTGCTGCTGCCCCCACGTTCTTTACACCCATACCAGCAGCTGCAACAATACCAGCAGCACTGGCAGCAGCACCAGCACCTGAACTTGCAGGCGTAACAGCTGCTGAGCCAGCAATAGCAGCAGAAGTGGCAGCAGGCTGTGCGCGTCTAAGGTTGGGCGGCAGAGGGGGAGGAGTGATAGAGTTGAGAATCTCTGGTGGAAGCTGCAGGTCCCCACGCTGCAAGCAAAGAGCGGGAAAAGGGGGAAGATGAGGTGGGGAAACGGTTGGGGAAGGGGAAGGAGGGGGTGAGAAGGTGAACTGGCAGTGGATAGCGCAACTGGCAGTGGATAGCGCCTACAGACAGCACAGCAGCACCACGTTAACCCACGTTTTGAGGATTCCCAAAACTGGAATTGGATGCCTAATCGTCACTGCATCTCGCCACAGCACACACATAGCATACCTTGAGGCGCCTGAAAGCGAATATCTGCGCTCGCAGAACAGTCAGCTGAGCCTTGGTGAACCCGTTGGGTTGCACTTGACAAGCCTCGTCCTCTTGCTCCTTCCTTGATGCTTCCTGCTGCTGCTGCTGCTGCTGCTGCTGCTGCTGCTGCTGCTGCTGCTGCTGCTGCTGCTCTGGTGGTAGCTGTTGCTGTTCTTTCTTTCCCTGCTCCTGCTGCGACTGCTGCAGCTGCTCCTGCTGCGATTGCTGCTCCTGCTGCTGCTGCTGCTGCTGTCTCTTCCTCTGCCTCTCGGTTTGCTTCTTCTTTGCCTGGCCTTTCTTGCCTGTTTGCTCGGACACTTGCTGCTGCTGCTGCGAATCTTGCTGCTGCTGCTGCTGCTGCTGCTGCTGCTGCTGCTGCTGCTGCTGCTGCTGCTGCTGCTGCTGCTGCTGCTGCTGCTGCTGCTGCTGCTGCTGCTGCTGCTGCTGCTGCTGCTGCTGCTGCTGCTGCTGCTGCTGCTGCTGCTGCTGCTGCTGCTGCTGCTGCTGCTGCTGCTGCTGCTGCTGCTGCTGCTGCTGCTGCTGCTGCTGCTGCTGCTGCTGCTGCTGCTTCGGCAATTCCTGTTGTTGCTGCTGTTGCTGCTGTAGTTGCTGCAGCTGTTGCTGCTGCTGCTGCTGCTGCTGCTGCTGTTGCTGTTGCTGTGATTGCTGCTGTAATTGCCGCTGCTGCAGCTGCTGCAAACCCTGCTGTTGCTGTTGCTGCTGTTGACGACGTTGCTGCAGCAGCAAAATCTGCTGCTGTTGCTGATACTGCTGCTGCTGTTGCTGTTGCTGTTGCTGTTGCTGTTGCTGTTGCTGTTGCTGTTGCTGTTGCTGTTGCTGTTGCTGTTGCTGTTGCTGTTGCTGTTGCTGCTGGTGTTGCTGTTCCTGTTGCTGTTGCTGTTGCTGTTGCTGTTGCTGTTGCTGTTGCTGTTGCTGTTGCTGTTGCTGTTGCTGCTGTTGCTGATACTTTTGCTGCTGTTGCTGTTGCTGCTGCTGTTGCTGTTGCTGTTGCTGTTGCTGTTGCTGTTGCTGTTGCTGTTGCTGTTGCTGTTGCTGTTGCTGCTGTTGCTGTTGCTGATACTGTTGCTGCTGCTGCTGCTGCTGTTGCTGCTGCTGTTGCTGTTGCTGCTGCTGCTGCTTTTGCTGTTGCTGTTGCTGTTGCTGTTGCTGTTGCTGTTGCTGTTGTTGCTGTTGCTGCTGTTGCTGCTGTTGCTGCTGCTGCCTCTGTTGTTGCTGTTGTTGTTGCTGCTGCAGCAGCAGTTTCTGCTGCTGTTGCTGTTGTTGAAACTGCTGCTGCATCTGTTGCATTTGTCTCTGCCTCTGAATCTGTAACAAAAGCTGCTGCTGCTGCTGCTGCTGCGCCCCTTGTAAACCCCCCTGCACTCCCGCTTGCACGCCCCCCCGCGCCCCTTGCACGCCCCCCTGCGCCCCCTGCGCCCCGTGTACTCCCCCTTGCGCCCCTTGTACTCCCCCCTGCGCCGCTGGCGCTCCCCCTTGCGCGGAGGCCATCATCCTCCCGCCAGAGGCAGCAGCCTGCTGCGCCAGCACCCATCCCGCCTGCCCCACTCTGCCCTGCCCCACTCCGCCTTGCCCCACACCGCCCGCACCCTGCCCCACTCCGCCCTGCCCCACTCCGCCCTGCCCCATCCCGCCCTGCCCCACACCGCCCCCGCCCTGCCCCCCCATGCCACCCTGCCCCATACCGCCCTGCCCCACACCGCCCATGATGATCCTACCAGCACCAGCCGTTCCAGCAGGCCCGGCCGGACCAGCAGCCCCGGCCGTAGCACCAGTGGGTTTAACAGCAGCAGACGAAGCAGCGGCACCTGCTACTGATACACCTCCCCCAAGTGCGTCTGTGCTTGCTGTAGCTGCCGCTGCCACTGTGCCTGTAGCAGCAGAAACGGCAGCACCAGCGGCTGCTGCTACAGCACCTGCAGCAGCGGCAGTTGCGGCACTTGTAGCAGTAGGTGCGGGTGTTTTGGAGACAGCAACAGCAGCACCAGCACCAGCAGCAGAAGCAGAAGCATTGGCTGAGCCAGCACCCCTTGCAACTGCTCCTCCTCCTGCTCCCACTGCTCCCCTTACTGCTGCTCCTGCTCCCATGGTCCCTGTTATCCTTCCTGCCTTGGCAAGAGGGGTAATAGGTTGGATAGAAGCTGCCCCGCTAACAGCAGAAGCCGGGCTGCTTGCTGTAGCGCGTACAGTCCCGGGCAGCACCAGCGCAGAACCAGCCATCCCCCCACCGCTCATTCCGCCCATCCCCGCGGGTCCCTGCGTCATTCCCCTCATTCCCCCCGTTCCCTGCGCCATTCCGCCAATCCCCGAGATGCCTTGCGCCATTCCCCCGATCCCAGCCGTTCCTTGCGCCAACCCGCCTGGCATGCCCCTAGGAACGATTCCCCCCGCCCCCGTCCATCCAGTACCGGCGGAAAACCCCCGTAAGCCTTCCCCACCCGTGGTCTGCCCCCCTGCGCCTTGCCCCGCAATTCCCGCTCCGCCGCCGCTTGCGCCAGTTGATGTGGCGCCAACTGCGGCGGAAGTTGCGGAAGAGGCTGCGGTTCCGGCGGTTGCGGGGCTGATGGGCGCGAAGAACGGTCTTAGCGGAGGGTATACCCCCGCCTGGGGGAAAGCGGAGGCGGAAGAGGGGGAAGCAGCCCATGCGGGGGACATAAAGCGCGGAAGGGGCGCAGGGACCCATGGCGCACCAGGGGGAACGGTAAACAGGGGGATATTATGGCCTGGATATGCCAAGGCTGGAGTTCCCAGGGGCCTGGATCCGACAGGGTTGAATTGGTTGAATTGCGTTGACCCAGGTACGGCCGGTGCTCCTGGTGCTGCTGGCGAAGCTTGCGCTGACGTGGATGGTGCTGACGTGGGTGCTGCTGACGTGGCTTGACTCGTGGATGAGCCCATCGGCGTCGGCGGCCGAGGAGCGTTTTGGTTGTTTTCCATGTCGCCTGCGACCGCCGCAACGACGAATTGCGACTACAGCGATTGAAATTCCAGTTGGTCGTACGTATTTTGGCAATAAAATTCGGATACTACGATTGCCATCCTATCAACCCTAAAACGAAACTCCGGCAAAATCCCTTGTCTGCCACCTTCGGACCACCTACCTTTGCCACTAGAATCTATATCGAGAGCGATGAACGAGCATCCTAAAGCGCTTCGAACTGCTGGTTCACACTGGAAACAAAAACTGAACTGGGGATCTCGAGCTTGGGCAATGTGAGCCTCCTAAACTAGCGCGTGGGCATTGCTTTGACTTGTCACAGACCGATCTGGAAAGCTGATGTACCGATCGAAACCGCTTTCAAGGAATTAAAATGCTCGAGGTGCGAGCTTTCAAGCATTCGAACTCACGGCACGTACACTACTGAGGTGCGCTAAGAAATACATTACCATTATGCAATATTGTATACCGTATTTGTTGAATCTGACTAGGATTGCACTTACGAAAACGAGTACAACTATGAGCGAAGGCATGAGTGAACATTTAAAGCAAACAATGAGTAAACGGTAATGAGGAGTGTTAGAAGCTAGTGAGAAGGATGGTCGATTAGGTAAGGGGGGGAATACAAGCGTGTCTAGAAATGTTGTGTACCCTCTAAGGATCCCTAGATAGTGTTGGGCTGAAAAAGGTCCTTAGGATCGTTTCAAGACTAAACTCTAGTGGTGATGTATTTAGCGGAAGTGTAAAAGTGGATTAATTGAACCACCTTGCACTAGTATGTGAGAACAAGATGAATTGATTATAGCAAAAAGATACAGTGTTCACCCCTCTTCAACCCCCATCATTCAGTGCTGGGACAATATGGAGGGCGTGAAGGGGGAGGTGAGCGTGCTGGGGACACTGAAAGGCAACTCACACTCCTCTTTGTTGGGCTGAGAAAAAGCCCTTAGGATCTTTGCAGGACTAAATTCCAAGTAGGACAATGTAATAGCGGAAGCGTTAAAAAAAAAGAAACTTGTGAACCACCTTGCGCTAGTACGTGAGGGCAAAGTAGATTGATTAAACAAAGGGATACAAGCTTTTTATAAGAGTACAAGGAATACGAAGAGATATAGTTAATAACCGTTTTGCTGTTGCTGTTGCGGTTCGATACAGTGACGACTCGGGCAACTGCTCAATAACGAGTCAGTTGTTTGTCCTTGCTGTCGCGCTGTATTTGTCAGGTCAAAGGTCGCTGACCTTTGACTTTAGCATAACCTCCAGCAGTTGTTCAACCTCCGAGGGTTGACTCGCTGGTGCTTCGATATGTTTCGCTTCGCTTCTGACTTGGTGTTTCGACACGACAGAGGCGCTAAATCAATTGTTTCCAACACTCTTCACTCATTTTCCCACTCTGCTCCCTCTACCTCCTCTCCCCTTCCACCCCCCTGTGCTGGGACGACGTGGAGGACGTGAGGAGGGAGGTGAGCAGGCCCTCAGATTCACTTTTAGGCACGTAAGGGTATCAGGGTCCCTCTGCCCCTAGACCCTGATCGTCAGGGTCGCCTAAAAAAAAAGCCTGAAAGTTCAGTGTTACTTAAAAAAAAAAGTCTGATGCATCAGTGTTCCCTACAGAAAAAGGCTGATACTAGTAGTCTTTATTTTACTAGTAGTAAAAACACTAGGAAGGAAGCAAACAGCAGAACGGGATGTGAGGCTGGATGGCAGGTAGCACGGCTAGGAGGCGTGGATGCATCAGTGCTTGCCAGCACGACCTAGACCGCCAGAATCCCTCGCAGCGCAGCCTGCCAGCATCTCTGTGCTGCAACCTTGTAATTGGTCAAGTCACTTAATGTTGCAAATGTGGCCAATGAACGGACCAGGCGCGCCAACTAAGGGGCCATCAGTGTGGGCAAAATTGTCCGATAGTCAACGACAGGCCCTGCTAACACCGCGGGAATCTGATTTTCCCAGTACTTCCGGTCAAGTACACTCGTACCTAGTAGGATTCGCTTTCAGGGTCAAACTCGTTACAACGTAAAGGCATCAGTGTCACTTCAAAAAAATTGCTGAAAGTTCAGAGTCATGTGGCATGTGAAGGCTGAAAAATCAGCCCTAGGAAAAGCTGAACACTGGATTTTCAGGGTAGGTAAAAAAAAAACCCTGAAAATCAGGAATTTCAGGGTAAAATTCCTGATATCGTAGGGCCTGGAGGTGAGCGTGCTGGAGATGCTGAAAGGCAGTCCCTTTGTGGTGTCGATTGTCGAGACGATCGAAGATGAGAAGGTGAGCGTGAGTGGTAATAGTCGGCTCTGGTGCCATTCATTGAGTCGTGTTACGAAGATGCGGATGTTAGTTTTTTTTTTTGTTTTTTGTCAACTCAAAAATAAACTCCTCTTAGTTGGCTCTAGTGCCATGTTGAGATAGGAGCACAAGTGGTAGTTAAGTTTAGGTAGGGCCTAGGCTTAGTAGCCTAGGCCAAGGGGAAGTCGAGAAAGTTGTGCCAAGGAGAAAGTCGAGAATGGGAATGATGTTCACTATAGCACTAGGGTACATATAGCAAACAGAGCATGCAAAGAAGGTGCACCACCAACAGTTTATAATAACTACACTAAACTACAGCTACAGGCAGTTACATATATATTCTAACACTCCCCCATAACTGCCTGCAGCAGGAGTTTGTGCAGAACACAACCTGCAGGGGTACACCAGCAACAGCAACAGCAGGCACGGTAACAGAGCAGGTACAGCAGCAAAGGGACAGGCGACAGCAAGACATTCCTGCCACCCCCTTACTCTCTTCCCCCCCCGACCACAGGAGGGGCAGCAGGGAGAGTGAGGAGGCGGGCTGGCTCTGGCTGGTCACCCCCTCCATCTCCTCACCCTCCCCCTCCCCCTCCCCCCCACACTGCTGCAGGAGCAGCAGAGGGGGGAAGAGAGGAGAGGTGGAGGGACGGTTGCTGGTTGGTCTCACACCCGCCACCCCAGTGCCACTCCCCCGGCTCCCCCACACCCTCACACCCTCCCCCCCAGCGGCAGCTGCAGCAGTGGGAACGAAAGGAGGAGGAGGGGAAGGGAAGCACACCACCCATCACCCCCACACCCGCCACCCCCATACCCTCCCCCCCACGGCTGCAGGGAGACGAAGGAGGAGGGGGCGGGCGGGGAGAAAGCCGCAGAGCGGCTACAGAGGGTCGGCGCGGGTAGGTCAGGGGCGGCTGCAGCGAGTGCAGGCGCGGGGTGAGGCAGAGGCGGCTGCACCGAGTGCAGGAGCGGGGGCGGCTGCTCCAAGGGCAGGCGCTGGGTGGTGCAGGGGCGGCTGCAGCGAGTGCAGGCGCGGGTGAGGCAGGGGCACCGCCGCGGGCGCCAGGGGCGGGTCCGCGGCGGCTCAGGACACCGTCGCGGGCGCCAGGGGCGGATCCGCGGTGGCTCGGGGCCCCGTCGCGCACCACGGGGCACGCGACGGGCAGTTTAGGGCACCGTCGCGTGCCACGGGGCGCACGACGGGCAGGGCACCGTCGCGTGCCACGGGGCGCATGACGGGCAGGGCACCGTCGCGTGCCACGGGGCGCACGACGGGCAGGGCACCGTCGCGTGCCACGGGGTGCACGACGGGCAGGGCACCGTCGCGTGCCATGGGGCGCGCGACAGGCAGAAAAGATGTCACGCGCCACCCGGGCGCGGGACAGGACGAAAATCGCCACGCGCCCGAGGCGCGCGACCGGAAAAACAGCAGCGGAAGCGTGAGGCGGGCCCACAGGCCTGGACTTAACAGGCTCTGATTCCATGTTGAGATAGGAGCACAAGTGGTAGTTAAGTTTAGGTAGGGCCTAGGCTTAGTAGCCTAGGCCAAGGGGAAGTCGAGAAAGTTGTGCCAAGGAGAAAGTCGAGAATGGGAATGATGTTCACTATAGCACTAGGGTACATATAGCAAACAGAGCATGCAAAGAAGGTGCACCACCAACAGTTTATAATAACTACACTAAACTACAGCTACAGGCAGTTACATATATATTCTAACATGCCATTCATTGAATTGTGTTAAAAAGGTGCAGATTTGAGGCGCTGAGAGTGTCAAACATATATATGTATATGTTATAGTTTGGGTAGGCTTAGTGGGGTACTCACTGTGGGGTACAACCCCTTAGGTTTCTCCTTTGTACCAATCCTCTCGATAGTCAATTTCACTCATGCCTATACTCTAAGATGGTATCTAGAGCCTAGAGGCCTTTAGGACCTAAGATTAGGGCCCACCCGTTACCACATTACCTCATTTGCCTGCCTGCCTTGCCTGCTGCCCGCGCGCGCCTCGACTGCACGCGCGCGGCCCCATTATTTTTTTTCCCCGCGCGCGTCACTTAAGCAGCCCGCGCGCGGCCCGTTTAGGCTCGTTTAGGCCCAGTTTCGGCCCCGCGCGCCACGACAGCCGCCCGCGCAGCCTGCCGCCGGCCCGCGCGCCGCGTAAGCCGCCTGCGCGCAGCCCGCTTAGGCCCTGCGCGCCGCATCTGCCGCCCGCGCAGCCTGCTGCCGGCCCGCGCGCTGCTTAAGCCGCCCGCGCAGCTTGCCGCCGGCCCCTTGCGTCGCCTCCTCCGGTGTGTAGCCCGCCCCTGCTCCGCGCGCCGCCTTAGGAGCCAGCGCACGGCCTACTGCTGCACCGTGCCCCGCCTTAGGAGCCCGTGTGCGGCCCGTTGCTGCACCACGCGCCGCTTTAGAGGCCCACGCGCGGCCCACTGCTGCC